CACACTGTGCAGACAAGAAACACTGTGGGTGTTCCTTTATTCACTCTTCACCACCACTTGTGCTGATTCTCACATTGAGTGATTGCAGCAACTCCATAGAAATATATAAGCGCTTATAGTTTAGGTTCTAGCTACATGGGAGTAAAAATGGTTTGATCTGCATGCCCTTCAAGGGACAGATCTTTTTAAGACCAGCGCTAGATGCTCTCCTCAAAGATATTACTGATAGTTGGCCGAAATGTTTCGTCCAAAAACACCCCTATTGGCCTATATGAAAATAGGCACCGATGCAGGTGCCGACAATAACCCTGCCCCCTCGCCACCGCTGCTCGGTAGTTCTGAGCCTTACCTGAGAAACCACCAAATGATCCCGGCGCTGGGCATAGAGATAAGTGAGGAAAGATGGCCTCCACTCATCTCTATGCCCTTGGAGGACCGGAGCGATGTCACTTTTGGTTCTAGGGCCTTGTAAACAAGGCCATTTTTTTTTTTTTTTTTTTTTTTTTTAAAAGCACTAGATCAATGCTTTTTTTTTTAATATAATGCCTTACATTGTAGAAGAGAGCTGTGGGTTCTTATTGCATGCATCCCTTGTGATAGGAGTACAAGTGTGTAACATTTTTTTTTTTTTTTAAAGGGACAGTGTAAAAACAAAAATTAAATAAATAAATGAAAAAGTTTAAAGTGCCCTGTTCCCCAGTGCTCACACGTAGTGATGAATGCATACATAGGCCACGCCCACATATGTAAATTGTGTTCTAACCACACATGTGAGGTATCGCCACGAATGTGGCAAGAGCAATAATTCTAGCACTAGATCTCCTCTGTAACTTTACACTGGTAATCTGTAGAAATTTTTAAAGAGTCACTCGTGAAGATTTTTAAGTACCGTTGTTGGACGCCATTCCATGAGCGTTCACAATTTTAAAACATGATATGTTGGGTATCTATTTACTCGTCTTAACATCATTTTTCATAGTTCATAAAAAAATTGGGGTATATATTGTTTTTTGTTTTTTTTTTTTTTTTTAATCAAAGTGTATTTTTTTCCAAAAAAATATATATTAATTTTAAAAACCGTCCATTTTGGTTTTTGGCAAAGTGCATCCTGAATTTTCGATTTCCGCACCAGAATTTTAATTTTGGTACACCACTAGGTAAGAGCGCTCATCTTCCTTAGCAGAGGAAGCCTAAGGACCAGACTGAGAAGTCATCTCCCTTTCTGACAGTAGGTGGCCCTTTCATTTCCTTAGACTCCTTTGAATTGGCAAAACTCTCAAGCTTGGCTCTCCATTTACTTGCAAGGTCTGGCACTCTAGATGATCAATTGTTAGACAAGATTTTCTCATAAATGCTCCTCCACTTTCCAGAGTAGTTTGAAAAGATCAGTTGGCCTTTGCTGATGATTGAGCATCTTTCTTTCTAGATGCTTGAGTGCAGGAGGTTGTCTCCCTGGGCTTCAAACTTGAGTTTTGTTACCTCCTTATCACTTTCTCCCCTTTTAAATCTTTCTGTGTCTCCAACAGACAGGCAGGTCTCATCCAAGGTGTTATAATTTCAGTCATGGCTGCTGAGCAGTTTCAGAAGTTTACTCTAGCCTGCTCAATGTCCCAAAGCTTAACCCCTTCACGCCTAAGGGTAAAACAAATCTAAATGCCTAAGCACAATTTTGAAATGGTGATATGTGTTAGTAAAACTGTACATATCATCACAACTACTTTGTACACCCAGGTGAATTATACCTTGTTTTTTTTCAGGACAAATTTGGCTTTCATTTTGTGGTAAATGGAAATGGATATCTCCTCGTTTTTTTTTTCTTGTATTATCAAAGGAAAACTGGCCGAAATAGTAAAAAAAAATATTTTTTTTTATTTAGCTGTGTGTTTGTTACTACCATAACCTACCACCAAAGAACAACCCAAAATAAATTATCCAGCTCTTGATGATCGCAGCAATACCATATATGTGTATGTTATTTGTTGCTTGTACCTGTAGTACAGCCCAGAAACAATAGTGCGCATTTTGTATTGTCTTTTTTTTTTTTTTACCTAAAACACACGGATACCAATTTTTTTTTTGACCCTGATCTTGACCCAAACACTAACCCTGGCACTGAAATAGATCATACCTTGATCTAGGTATTTTTTTTTCTTTATTTTTTCTTTTATTTTTGTAATATTTATTTATTTTTTAAACAAACATTTTTTCCCCCTCTATTCGAGGAGTTTGAGAGATACAATGTATCTCTCTCCTCCATTCATAGAGAGAAAAAAAACAGTTGTGATAGCCAATCAGAGGCTATCAAAGTGATCATGTGACCCGGAATTGGGAGTCCCGGGTCCCGATCGTTAGAACGGGACCTGGTGCTCTCAGTGACACTGCGGTCTTTGTGCTGGGAGCGTGCTGTGCGGCACTCTCCCAGCACAAAGACAGGTACACAAATATGCGGCCCCACGGAAAAAATCCCAGTTCTGTGAGGCCGAATATTTGTTACGTCGGCGTCAAGGGGTTAAACACCAATCCTGGATTTCAAAGCCTTCAATGTTTTCAATTGGGTCCATAAATTGCTGTTGGAATCCATCACGTCTCTCATTTCTTTCCTTAACTGAGGAGACTTTCTGGCTTTTTTGGACATCAAAGATGCTTACTTGCATGTACACATCTTTTCAGTGCACCAGCATGTTCTGAGGTTTGCTGTAGGACCTCTGCAGTGTAAGTAAATTGCCCTCCAGTTTGGCCTCTCTTGGAACCTTGGATGTTCACCAAGGTGTTGGCTCCAGTATTGCTTCCCTCATGGTCTGCCCATTGTGGGATACTTAGACGACCTCTTGTTGAAGGAAAAGTTGGCAAGGGTTCTGGTAAACAGTGTGTTTCTAACGGTCCAGACTTTGCAGAAGTTTGGATGGAACCTGCACCTTCAAACAGCATCGCTGAAACGTACAACATCAATTTAAGTACCTGGGTCTGGTTCTGGGACACATCTTGGACCATTTCCTACTCCAAGAAAAGCTTTAGAGTCCAGACTGTTATTGCAGGACTGATGGTATCTTCTTTGTGGTAGTTTCTTTTGCCCAATTTCACGCCAAACCTTGGCCATGTCATCTAATTGTGGGACAAATTGGTCCTACCTCCTGACAGACTGATTCGATTGACACCAAAGGGTTTATTTACTAAAGCTGGAGAGTGAAAAATCAGGCTCACTTCTGCATAGAAACCGATTGGCTTCCAGGTTTTATTGCCAAAGCTTAATTGAACAAGCTGAGGTTAGAAGCTGGTTGGTTTCCGTGCAGAAGTGAGCCTGATTTTGCACTCTCCAGCTTTAATAATAAACCCCTTGGTGTCAAACAAATTGGCCTCAGCTGGCAGTGTCTTGACCCAGGATGAGTTCTAAGACCTGTGTTTGGTATCTCTGTTGAATCCGTACACCCTGATCCATGCCTTTCCACCCCTGAAGTTTCTTCCTTGTCTGCTCCGCAGGATCAAGATGGAGGGCAGGGCAACCCTCATTGCTTTGTATTACGCCAGGCAAATGTGGTATGCCGACTTGGTAAGACTTCTAGAAGGCACACCCTGGCCCCTAGTGGACCGTATGGATTTGTTAGCCATACTGGTGCTTAATCTCTGGATTTGATGGCATGGCTGTTGGGGACTCTGAGTCATACAATCCTCAAGGCTAGGAAATTCTCTTTTTTGCAAGGTCTGTCAACAGACATTGAAGGCTTACTTCACTTGGTTTGAGTCTAGTGGGTTAGGACTGGCATTTGGCTCTCATCACCATCAACTGTCAAATTTCTGCTCTTTCCATTGTGTTCAGAGACAGTTGGCATCTCGTTCTTTGAATAAGACCTTTGTGCAAAGGGGTCTTCTATGTGGCTCCCCCATATGTTCCCGTGACTCAATATGATCTGAATCTGGTTCTCTTTGTGCTTCAGAAGCTGCCATTTGAACCCATAAGAGATATTTCTCTCTCTCTACTCTATTCCATAAGGTTGCTTTCTTTGTAGCTATCACCTCTGCAAGGCAGGTGTTTTGAACCCTTGGCTTTTTCTTGCAAATAACCCTTTTTGATCTTACAAAGGGACAAGGAGATATTTGGGCCCAGGACTTCTTTCTTGCCTGTCTGTACATGTCTGTCTCTCAGCCACTGCTTCTTAAGGCAAGACAGATTCCCTTTTAGTAATTTCGGATGGACCCTAACACAGCACCCTGGCTTCTCATTCCACAATTCCTATATGGCTCAGACAGACCATTGTTCAAGCTTATAATCTTGAAGATCTAATTTTCCACTACTAAGGTTCACTCTCCTAGATCTAGGAGCGCCGTTTGAATTTTTCAACATCAAGCAACTGTTTTCCCAGATTTAGAAGGATGCCACCTGGTTTTCTGCACAAATGTTCTCCAAGTTCTAACAAGCGGACATTTCTGGCTCATCTGATGCCAGTTTTGGGCATAAGGACCTTCAGGTGTCTCATTAAGCTGCAGGCAGTCCCCAGTTCCTTTTGTTTATGTTAGGACTGTTGGTGGTTGTTTGCTGTGTTGCTCACTCCTCCATTGGATTGCTTTTGGATGGTATAAAACGTTGTGTCCCTCAACGGACAAGAAAGAAAACAGGATTTTTGTACTCTCTATAGATCCTGTTTCTTGGTGTCCATTGGGGGATATAGTGTTTGTGATCTTGCATTCAGTACAGCTTTGTTACAAAGTTAAGGCAGTTGTTTTTTTTTTCACTGCGTTGGTCTACAAGGTTTTTTGTTTTTTTTTCTTGTTTGGCCAGTGTCTAATATTCCTGTAGGTGGCAGTAGGACCCAGATTTCCTATGTCCTTCAGTGGACAAAATTAATTTACGGTACGTACAATAATTCTGTTATCTAACATAAAGTAAACGAACTTGCCTTTATAAAGCAGCTATTCTTTTGCATTACAGTTATGAACAGCTGAATCATAATAGTTTGTATATTACACTGTCTAACCTAAATTTGTTTTTGATTTTGTAATATAAGGAATTACAGAAGGCTCCCAAAAAGGAAGACCTGAAAGATTTTATTTTACAGAAGTAAGTAACCAAACAGCATTGTCAGGTAATATTTATTAATGTACTATTGATTTTCAGGTCAAATATACCAGGACACTGGCAGTTATGCTTAAATATCCATTACTTACAGCTGCATTAACCACTTGCCCTCCAGAGGATTTACCCCCCCCCCCCCTTCCTGACCAGGCCATATTTTGCGATATGGTGCTGCGTTACTTTAACCACTTGCCAACTGTGCTATAGCCGAATGACGGCTACATCGCGGTTGTCCAGTTCTGGGAGGGTTTCTTATGGTGGCATACCGAGAAAAGGAGCCAGGAGTACTGAAGGGGAACCCCAGAAGAGGAGATTCGAGTCGCTCTGTGCAATTCTATTGCACAGTGCAGGTATGTGTAATATGTTATGTAAAAAAAAAAAAAAAAATGCTCGACAATCACTAATTCAAGGTTTTTTGTGTTGTCCATAAAGCTTGGTGTACTGGTCTGTTGGTTATATAACCAAATTAAGTCATGGAACCTACCTACCTGTAGGTAGCTTTCTTCCCTCATTAATTCACTTTCAGATACAGTGAGTTGAAAGATGAAATTGTCAGTCATAATAACTATACCCAGTGAATGTATTTTCTTAGATTTAGAGGTTATTTGAGCCTTTTCGTGGTTGTAGTAAATGACAGCCAGAATTTTATGAAAAGACTTTTACGCTGATCTCTAGGCAACAAAAAGTTGAATTTAAACATATGTATATGCCTCAGTAAACACAAAGGACATAATTCTCATTTGTGTGCACCAAATGCTTTCACAAACCTAGATATTACCTTAAAAAATGTAGCAACATCATTACAGTGTTGGAATACTTTCATCTTATTTGTACAAATCTGGAAGACAAAAAAAAATGATATATATATATATATAGATAGATATCCGTAGAAATTGTACTTTGCTTGGTGTGAGTCTCAGAGCTTTACACCCAGGAGTTGCTTAGTGGGACGGATCCTGTTTTCTGCAGTGAAGTCCAGACCAACACTTGGCACCATCACTTGGTACCATCAAGGGCTGGATCTCTGTCCTTTCCTTTCCGTTTCAGAGACCATTGGCTTCCCATAGTCTGATTAAAGTGGTGTTAAACCCAAAACCAAAAATGTAATAGGTTGTAGCTTACCAATCGTTAGATTTGGTAGCTGCATTAGGTTTTTTTTTTTTTTAGGATTTTTTCCTTATGGTTTCATTTGGTAATCTGGCTAGTAACAAACTCCCACCTACACTGTGGATGAGGGAGTACAGAGACACATTTGGACAACAGCATTGTCAGTCTGGGGGGAGAGGATTGTTAGGTGTACTAGCAGATTTAGATACACCCCAGCTTACACTTTTTAGGCAGATACAATACGTTTTTTTTTTTTTGTTTTTTTCAGTTTGGGATTACATTAGTAAAAGCTGACCCCTATCAGTATTAAATGGTTTTCCTCAACCCCCTAACTGCTACATCTGCAGGGCAGCTTCTGTAAAAAAAAAAAACCAAACAAAACAGATTTACTGGCAGGATCACCAGGTGGAAATCAAGAGAGCCTAAAAAATAACTATTGCAGCCACCACATCTAAGAATTTGTAAGCTGCAAAATAACTGTTTGCTTTTGGCTTTAATACCTAGTTAAGGCCTTTGTTCAGGGTGTCTCTCATGTGACTTTCCCAGTTCAATCCCACTTGTCTCTGAGGGATTTTAACATGTTGCAGCGCGGCCGTTCCTGTCAGTCCGAGACAGCGCTTTCCCGCTGGAGGTAAAGAGCCAATGAAATTGGCTTTTTACCATATGATCGCCTGTGACCTGTCACAGCCCATCATAAGTGTAAACATGATTGGCTGTGACCTGTCACAGCCGATCATGAGTGTAAGCACACAGTGATCACTCATTGTTACTATCTTCTCTTCTTCACACACCGATCTTGTGTGAGGAGTAGAACCTAGGAACAGTGAGTTCTTCAAACCCTTTCACGACTGTGCACCACACTGCCCCTAATAAAGATCTGTCAGTGCCGCCCATCAGTGGATCTGTCAGTGGAGCCATTAGTGGACCCATCAGTGGATTTGTCAGTGCCGCCATCAGTGGCGCTGTCAGTGGAGCCCATCAGTACATCAATGCATTTGTCAGTGCCGTCCATCAGTGTACCTGTCAGTGCATTCATCAGTGCAGCCCATTGGTGTACCTGTCACCACAGCCATCAGTATACTTATCACAGAGTCGACACAACTGCTGCCCACCAGCAGTGTACCCATCACAGCCATCCATCAGCAGTTTATCCCTCATACAACCACAATCACTAGAGCCGCAATGGCCAAAAAACATTTTACTAGTGAGGAGGTGCTCCAAATCCTGTCAGATGAGAGCATTGGGGAGCTCTCACCATCCGATTCTGATTTGGAATACGAGCCAGTAGAAAGTAGCAGGCAACGAGCAGCGCCATACACCCCAATGGTCAATCAGCAGACACCAAGATCCATCAGTGGATCTGTCAGTGGATCACCATCAGTGGATCTGTCAGTGCCGCTGTCAGTGCATCACCATCAGTGGATCTGTCAGTGCAGCCCACCAGTATACTTGTCAGTATACCTGTCAGTGCTGCCCATCAGTGCATCCATCAGTGTACCTGTCAGTGCATTCATCAGTGCAGCCCATCGGTGTACCTGTCACCACAGCCATCAGTGCACCCTAATCAGTAGACTTATGACAGGGTCGACACAACTGCCGCCCACCAGCAATGTACCCATCACAGCCATCCATCAGCAGTTTACCCCTCACACAGCCACAATCACCAGAGCTGCAATGTCCAAAAAATATTTTACTAGTGAGGAGGTGCTAAAAATCCTAGGCATGTCGGATGAGAGCAGTGGGGAGCTATCATCATCCCATTCGGAATACAAGCCAGTAGAAAGCAGTGGGCCAGTGACCGACTTGGAGGAGGAAGCAAGTCTCACCTAAAAGGATACAGTGCTCTGAAGAGCAGGCAACAACGACCAGCACCATACACCCCAATGGTCAATCAGCAGACACCAATGGCGCTAGACCCCAGAATGAAATACCTATAGTAGTATCCTATCTCGATCCAGTGCTGTGCCTGTCTGCAGAGGTGCTGGTCAGTGTTCCTCTCCCCGTGGAACACGCAGGCAGCAGCAGGAGCCATTGGTCCATGCTGCTGTCAGTCAAATCCTGTTAGTGGGGGATGGGTCCGAGCTGCGCTGTTTTTCTATGAACTCTCGCAGCCTGGCCCAGGAGCGAGCCTGCACATCTGCCCCCATAGCAAGTGGTTTGCTGTGGGGGCAGATAGCGCTGGTGGGGGGACCCCAGAAGAGGAGGTTTGAAGCTGCTGTGTGCCATACCGTTGTGCACAGCAGGTAAATAAGTATACCATATTTATTTTATTTAAAAAAAAAAGTTTCCTATACAACTACCTTAAGTTTTCTGAGAAATTTAGGATACAAGTGTTTGCAAACTAAAGTAGCAGTGAAAGTCGACTAACTTTTTTTTTTTTTTTTTCTTTTAACTTTAGATACATGTTAGTTGACAATGAGGAGGATAAAAAGACTCACAGACCACTAATGCCAAAGGAGGTATGTGAATAATTTTCTGAACTGAAACATAGATCTTCTCTGCAGGAGCATGTACCACCATCTATTGGCCTCATGTACTATGCACTTGCATGGCATGCTTACTGCAACTTAAAGTATAACTGAATGCAAAACCTTTATTTTTTATCTATATTTTTTTTCAAACGGAGATTCATTCTATTTGTCCTGTCTTGCCTTTTTTATCAAAAGTAAAAGAAAATCCAAAATTTTAGGTTAACCCCAGACCGCAATATCAACTGGGGATCCTGGTTCCAACCAGGGATTCCCTCATTTTGGAGAGAATTCCTCTCACTTCCTGTTTTGGCTATGAGACAGGAAGTGAGGGGAGGTCTCCCCAATGGGACACAGATGGCAAAAATAGCCTGTCAGGAGTTATAACCATGAATTTTCCTATTCAAACTGAAAAAAAAAAAATGTTTTGCCCATTCAACTTTAAAGCAAAACTTCCCCAAGAGTTAGTAGAATAGATTTGGAGTTGTAGAGTAAGCACCTTGAGTTATCAAATCAAACCTTTACCAGCAGAGGATCTCTCTTTAAATTTCCCACTTATAATATTGTGATAGCACTGGTTCAGTTTTCCTTTGGCATTACTTTATGACTAATCTCCATCAACTGCAATCCCAATCCAAGGTAATTGCCCATTTGGGCCACTAAAGCAGTCTCAAAGTCAGGCCTGTGTTTTCTGACATCAGTAATTTTCATTAACAGACATTAACCATCAATTTTTATTATGTCTTTTACAGTACAGATGTTTTCCAGTATAGACCTTCTGATTACATATTAAAGATGTAGCAGCAACTTTCTACTTTTGTAATCCTAGGCCCCAAAGAAACTGATTCGATACATTGACAATCAGGTAGTGAGCACAAAGGGGGAACGATACAAGGATATAAAGAAGCCTGAGAGCGAAGAGATGAAGAAAACCTACATAAACCTCAAACCTGCTAGAAAGTACAAGTTCCACTGACGACTGAAGTCACTGAGACCTTTTCTGGCTAAATCTAACCTGAATTATGTACACTGGACAGGTAGAAAACCCTGTTCTGGGAGCAACAGAGAACTGCACTGTATGCATACATTTTTAAAATGATTAATCATTGTTCACTTTGGGTGAGGAGGTGGTGTCTTCCCAGTAAAGCAATACATAACATCGGGGAAGGAGTGGCGACAGCATGCGTTATGTAAATATTCCTCAGATGTATCTATTTTAATATTGTTTTTTCTTGCTTGCAGGTATTGCAGTGGTATGTATATTTTGTTTGTGCTTACTCTTTGGCATTTGTCTGTCTAAATTTGCTGTTCTCAAACTTGCCAAAGCACAAATGGCAATGGTTGTGTAACTGGAACATCCTAGCAACTGAGCTGTACTGTTAAGTCCATCACCTGTCAGCATTGTCACACAGGATGGAAACAAAGAGCAAAACTCAGTGTATTTTGGATATTGCTATAGTGTACAGATTAGCTGTTTTTTTAAAAATTGTGGCTAAAATTCAGGATGCCTAGAATCATTTTTGAATAGCCTTTATTTAAAAATCATAACAGGACAAAGAACAGGAACACATTTTGTAAAGGTTTCATGCAATTAGTAATTTGTTCTCTCAGATTCATTGCCTGTTAAATTGCAGGACCTCGGACATGACAACTTTTCATCTGCTACATCAAAGATGATATAAGCAAGATGCATAGAATTGTAAAAATAAATTACCATTTTTTAGATGCAAACAATTGCTATGCAGGAATTGAGTGGTTTTCCTTTTTTGTTCAATTGACGTATTGATTTGTGCTGTAGCAGAGTTTATATCGATGTCACAAAACCCCCACTGTGATGCATTAACATGACCTGCCAAGAATTATTTTGCATCCAGTTGAACAATTATAAATATTTTTTCTTTTAGTCTTTGGCAGTATATTGTTTTGTGATTTGTTTTTATACAGGAAATTAACCAGTTGTATAACAAATCTTTATTGTATCTGATGAAAAATAGCTGTCTGAGCTCTTTTATTATGGTGCATAGTTATGTGGCTAAACAGTGTGCTGACAAGCTGCATGAACAGCAATATCGGCCTTTCTGGACCCCCCAGCATGCTACATGATTACTATGTGCTGAGAATTGTGGTAGGAATATGGGGAGTGGAATGCTAGCCACCTCAGCCTGTAATTTGCTTATCGTGTGAGAGTAGAGGAGAGCAAATCATATTGAACAGCATTCTAAATTTAAATGTCAACTCCATCCACAACTGCTTGGCTATTTAAACTACTTATAGTTTTTGGGGATCCCAGTGCTGATACATCCCTACCAGAATATGCAGCGATTACATGCTCTACCCAGTAGATTCTTATAAAGAGGAATATACAAATAATTTAGGATTGATGCTGCCAAAAATGGTACTCCTCTGTTATAAACTTCTTGGAGGTGGTGGTGAAAATGTCAGCACTAGTACCTTTGAGTGATAGAAGAACGCAGGGGGTGATCCAGCCTAATTGGTGTCCAACTAAAATCTGGAAACGTCGGTGTACACAGATGTATGTTTGGATTTGCCAGGAGATGGGCAGCTCATAATTTACTCCCTGAAGTTAATGTAAATCGGATTTAGTCAGCACTTTAGATTTGTATATATTCCTTTGATTTTTCCTGAGGAGGGTAAGGGGAGCATGTGAGGCTCCTTTAAAAAAAAAAACAAAAAGAAAAAAAAGATACATTTGTCCTTTCAGTCTACTGGGAATGTTAAAGCCCTATTAAACCCAAAAGACAACATTTTTTTTATCTAAGAACTGGTAAGGTGCAATATGTGATGGCTGCAGTAGTTTTTTTTTTCAGGCTCTTTTCCCCTTATTTTCACTTGGTGAACCAGCCATTAAGTCTGTTGTTTTTCAACAGAACAAGCTCTCTTGCAGATGTAGCAGTTGGGCCAAACCATTTACCAGTGGCAGGGGTGCTTACAATGGTCAGCTTTTATTTATGTAAAACCATGTTATGGTTTAAATTAAAGCAAACCTGTCACAAATCTGAGCTATGCAAAGGAGGTATATGAAGAAAAGTGTACAGGAAATTGTTGTTTGGGGAAAACACATATCAGAAGATCAGAGCATCTAGCAACTAAAGCTACACACAGATCCCAAATTTCATGTAAATATCAAGCTTGAACAATTGTCCACCCATCATGTTAAAGTGATTGTAAAGGTGTTATTTTGTTTATTTTTTTGAATCACAAACCTGTCATACGTACCTGCTCTGTTTAACGTAGCATCATTTTTACCAGAAACCCAATGCCTATATCCTGGGATCATTTTGGAATTTTTACAGCCTGTCTATTCATGATATACGCATCACATTTTTGTTTTGCATAGGCTCGTGGTAGGTTTGCTTTTACATAATGATGTTATATGCTAGGGGAACTTTGAATTAGAGGTTTTTTTTTTTTTTTTTTTTTTTTTTTTTTTAAATGAGGTATGATGTTTCAATACAGACTAACTGCAATGCAGTTCCCTACAGAGTGCTTGTCTTTATACTTGTTTGCCTTTTGTGACTGTTTCAATACAGGCAGCTTTTTTTGTTTTTCTTGATAATTGTATTGTTTTAGCTAGTCTAGGCAGGTGACTTAAATTCAGACATAATTAAAGGAGTATCTGAAGGTTAGTTATTTTTTATTGTGTTGATTTGCTTGGTTTGAATACTAAAATGAATTTGGTGTTTGTTAAAATGAAAGTGCATGTACTCTGTCTATAGTGTTCTACTTGTTTTCTCTCATGTAACCTCACAAAAAAGGCCTGATCTAAGTATGTACAGATGTAAGTCTGCTACTGACCATGTTGGTGTAAAGATATGCACTGTTTTTCCTGTTAGGATAGGTCTCAAAATCTGCCCGAACAGTCATAGGGGTTGATTTACATTTGGCTCCTGGGTGCTTCTTTGATTTGGGTACCAGAGACCTCTCCTTTCCATAATTCTACTCTCTGTTCTTATGATAACCATCTGGGCATTTTTGTCTGGCAGCATCCACCTTTGTCTCCATAATATTGAAAAACAAAATCCAACAGGATGGTCACATCACATGGGCTAATACAGATATCTCACAACAGACTCCCCCTATAAGGAACTGTGAAGCAGTTAAAGAACAATTTCACTTATAGAGAGCCTGTCCTTTATTAAATCCCCCGCACCTCCAGTGCTGTATTTTTATTTTTTTACAAAAACGGTGTTTTATTGTAAAAGGAAGTACAGTCAGGTCCATAAATATTGGGACATTGACAAAATTCTAACATTTTTGGCTCTATACACCACCACAATGGATTTGAAATGAAACGAACAAGATGTGCTTTAACTGCAGACTGACAGCTTTACTTTGAGGGTATTTACATCCAAATCAGGTGAACGGTGTAGGAATTACAACAGTTTGCATATGTGCCTCCCACTTGTTAAGGGACCAAAAGTAATGGGACAATTGGCTTCTCAGCTGTTCCATGGCCAGGTGTGTGTTATTCCCTCATTATCCCAATTACAATGAGCAGATAAAAGGTCCTGTGTTCATTTCAAGTGTGCTATTTGCATTTGGAATCTGTTGCTGTCAACTCTCAAGATGAGATCCAAAGAGCTGTCACTATCAATGAAGCAAGCCATCATGTTTGGAACATTCTTAAAAAGAAGGAACGCACCGGTGAGCTCAGCAACACCAAAAGACCTGGAAGACCACGGAAAACAACTGTGGTGGATGACCAAAGAATTCTTCCCCTGGTGAAGAAAACACCCTTCACAACAGTTGGCCAGATCAAGAACACTCTCCAGGAGGTAGGTGTATGTGTGTCAAAGTCAACAATCAAGAGAAGACTTCACCAGAGTGAATACAGAGGGTTCACCACAAGATGTAAACCATTGGTGAGCCTCAAAAACAGGCAGGCCAGATTAGAATTTGCCAAATGACATCTAAAAAAGCCTTCACAGTTCTGGAACAACATCCTATGGACAGATGAGACCAAGATCAACTTGTACCAGAGTGATGGGAAGAGAAGAGTGTGGAGAAGGAAAGGAACTGCTCATGACCCTAAGCATACCACCTCATCAGTGAAGCATGGTGCTGGTAGTGTCATGGCGTGGGCATGTATGGCTGCCAATGGAACTGGTTCTCTTGTATTTGATGATGTGACTGCTGACAAAAGCAGCAGGATGAATTCTGAAGTGTTTCGGGCACTATCTGCTCATATTCAGCCAAATGCTTCAGAACTCATTGGACGCCACTTCACAGTGCAGATGGACAATGTCCCAAAGCATACTGCAAAAGCAACCAAAGAGTTTGTTAAGGGAAAGAAGTGGAATGTTGTGCAATGGCCAAGTCAGTCACCTGACCTGAATCCGATTGAGCATGCATTTCACTTGCTGAAGACAAAACTGAAGGGAAAATGCATCAAGAACAAGCAGGAACTGAAGACAGTTGCAGTAGAGGCCTGGCAGAGCATCACCAGGGATGAAACCCAGCGTCTGGTGATGTCTATGCGTTCCAGACTTCAGGCTGTAATTTACTGCAAAGGATTTGCAACCAAGTATTAAAAAGTGAAAGTTTGATTTATGATTATTATTCTGTCCCATTACTTTTGGTCCCTTAACAAGTGGGAGGCACATATGCAAACTGTTGTAATTCCTACACCGTTCACCTGATTTGGATGTAAATACCCTCAAATTAAAGCTGACAGTCTGCAGTTAAAGCACATCTTGTTTGTTTCATTTCAAATCCATTGTGATGGTTTATAGAGCCAAAAATGTTAGAATTGTGTCAATGTCCCAATATTTATGGACCTGACTGTATAAAACATTGTAACAGATATGCAATGCAGACATTTAACATAGAAGTTGTAGTACAAAACAAATGAGCAAGAACAATATATTGTACAACATCCAATGTAGGACAAGAGGAAGGGAGGAGCAAAACCGTGCTGCAGACAATAGAATCATAGAAATCAGTCCAATATTGCTT